TCTGTATAAGTGCAACATCCTCATGACACTATTTGTCATAGTTTCCCACCTATTTAATATCACCTTCGAATAGTCCATTAGATTCAAGTGAACACAGTACTCATTACAGCTTTTCGTTTGTTTCTTTGTTTTTTTGAGACCGAGTCTCACTGTGTCACCCAGACTGTAGTGCAGCGGTGCGATCTCAGCTCACCACAACCTCCGCCTCCCAGGTTCAAGCAATTCTCCTGCCTTGGCCTCCTGAGTAGCTGGGATTACAGGTGCCTGCCACCACACTCAGTTGATTTTTGTATTTTCAGTAGAGACAGGGTTTCACCATGTTGGCCAGGCTGGTCTCAAACTCCTGACCTCGTGATCCGCCTGGCTCAGCCTCGCAAAGTGCTGAGATTATAGGCGTGAGCCACCGCGGCTGGCCTTATTACAATTTTTTAAAATTAAAGAAACAGGCTGAGTGTAGTGACTCATGCCTGTAATTCAAACACTTTGGGAGTCTGAGATGAGAGGATCGCTTGAAGTCAGGGGTTCAAAAACAGCCTGGGCAATAAACCTAGACCACCCCCCCACCCCACCATACAAAAAAATTTTAAAATTAGCTGGGTGCAGTGGTGTACACCTGCAGTCCCAGCTATTCCAGAAGGTAAGGTGGAAGGATTGCTTGAGCCTAGATGGAGGCTGCAATGATCACATCACTGCACTCCATCTAGCCTAGGTGACACAGCGAGAGAATCTCTAAAAAAAAAAAAATTAAAAATAACTGGGAGTGGTGGCTCACACTTGTAATCCCAGCACTTTAGGAGGCCAAGGAGAGCAGACCACAAGGTCAGGAGTTAAAGACCAGCCTGGCCAATATGGTGAAACCCTGTCTCTACTAAAAATACAAAAGTTAGCCAGACTTGGTAGTGGGCGCCTATAGTCCCAGTAACTCAGGAGGCTGAGGCAGGAGAATAGCTTGAACCTGGGAGGCGGAGGTTGCAGTGTGCAGAGATCGTGCCACTGAGATCACTCCAGTCTAGGTGACAGAGCAAGACTCTAACTCAAATTAAATTTAAATTTAAAAACAGTCAAAAATAGACTGGGCGTGGGCTCACGCCTGTAATCCCAGCACTTTGGGGTTACACCCGTCAAGGCGGGTGGATCACAAGGTCAAGAGATCGAGACACCATCCTGGTCAACATGGTGAAACCCCGTCTCTACTAAAAAAAATACAAAAAATTATCTGGGCACAGTGGCGTGTGTATGTAATCCCAGCAACTCAGGAGGCTGAGGCAGGAGAATTGCCTGAACCCAGGAGGCGGAGGTTGCGGTGAGCCGAGATCGCGCCATTGCACTCCAGCCTGGGTAATAAGAGCGAAACTCCGTTTCAAAAAAAAAAAAAAAAAAAAAAAAACCGTTCAAAAATAAAGGCCAGCTTCAGTGGCTCATGCCTATAATCCCAGCACTTTGGAAGGCCGAGGTGGGCAGATCACCTGAGGTCAGGAGTTCAGGAACAACCTGGCCAGTATAGTGAAATCCCGTCTCTACTAAAAATACAAAAATTAGCCGGGCATGGTGGTATGTGCCTGTAATCCCAGGTACTTGGGAGGCTGAGGCAGGAGAATTGCTTTAGCCCAGGTGGTGGAGGCTGCAGTGAGCCAAGATCGTGCCACTGCACTCTAGCCTGGGTGACAGAGTGAGACCGCATCTCCAAAAAAAATAAATTAATAATAATAATAAATAAAATAAAGTGGCCAGGCACGGTGGCTCACGCCTGTAATCCCAATACTTTGGGAGGCTGAGGCAGGTGGATCACCTGAAGCCAGGAGTTCAAGACCAGCCTGGCCAACATGGCAAAACCTCATCTCTACTAAAAACAGAAAAAAAAAAATTAGCTGAGCATGGTGGCTTGTGACTATAGTCCCAGCTACTGGGGAGGGGGGCGCGGTTTAGGAAGGAGGATCGATAGAACCTGGGAGGTGAAGGTTGCAGTGAGCCAAGACTGTGCCACTGCACTCTAGCCTGGGCAAAAAAGCAAGACTCTGTCTCCAAAAAATATTAATAATAAAATAAAATTGAAACAAACTAAAAACCAGTTAAGTAATAATCTGTTAAAGTGGAACATTAATGGTAATTACCTCAATAGTTAATAGGTATTTTTTAGCCAATCAGTCTCTAGTGTTTATTCACTTTTTTTTTTGTAATCTTACTGTTTTACGGGTTTGGAAAGATGCTTGATGCATAGATAGCTCCTATAATTATTAATCTTTAAGAACATGTCAGATAATGACACAACTTTTTTTTCTGAATTACAAAAGGATTCTCCTCTCCTCCCACAATTGAAAATACTAATTTCTAATGTATTATTCCACAGTTTCTATTTTACTTCTTTCCTCAACTAAGACCATTAGGATATTAGCCACCGAATAAAAGGATAAAAAGATTTTAAAGAAAGAAAAACACTAGCCCTAGACCGTTCAGCCAGTTCATGCGATAGGTATAAAAGTTTTCCCAGTCATTGACTGCAAAGTGTTACATAGTGATCTACACCTGAACCTGTTCACAGCACTTTAGAGAGGTCAACATCAGATGAGAGTGTGTTCTCTGAGGCTGGCTTTCACAATACCAGGTCTTCAGCATTACCTCATTATTGAAGTATAAATTTACTAAACACCACCATTTCCCAAGACTTCCTTTTTAAAAAGCAATTTAATCTTATGCTTGATGTATTTATATTATGCACTGGTGAATCAAAACAAAACAAGCCGAGCGCAGTGGCCCACGCCTGTAATCCCAGCACTTGGAGAGGCCAAGGGAGGTAGATCACCTGAGTCAGGAGTTCGAGACCAGCCTGGCCAACATGGTGAAACCTTGCCTATACTGAAAATACAAAAGTCAGCCGGGTGTAGTGGTGGGTGCCTGTAATCCCAGCTACTCAGGAGGCTGAGACAGAATGCTTGAAACTGGGAGATGGAGATTGCCGTGAGCCCAGATTGTGCCATTGCACGCCAGTCTGGGTGACAGAGCAAGACCCCGTCTCAAAAAAACAAATAATTAACACAGATGGCTTCATAAATTAATACTTTACCTTTGGAATCTTTCATATACCCACTTTAAAATGTTTAATATTCTTGGGTTCACATCAGTCCTCCTGTTACGCATTCAGTATTATTGAGAAATAAAGAAACTGAGGCAAGAGAAGTCAGAAGAGCCATTTGTAGCAAGCAGGCATATATCTGGACAGGTAAACTGTGGTGCTGCTCTCTTAGGCCACAACCCTTTTCTGAAAAGTGCCTGTCAAGCAGCACAGAAATCCTTCTCACCCCAGACATCCAGGGCACACCCCTCAAGAAGGGACAAATACGAGTATTCCTCCCTGCTGAGGTAGAAGAGACCATGTAACCAAAGACAGCATGCTTCTCAAATCTATATTACTGAATTGGGAGGGAAAAAGATGAACGGAAAGAGGGAGAATATCAAAGGAAATCAACTTCTGAGACTGAAGACGTGGTTATTAGATTTATCCGATATTAGGAAATTACCGAAACATCGCTTAAGTAGAAACAGAATCAGGAAGGCCTAGGGTATTTTCTTATTCCAGTCTTAAACTCCCAAACAAAAATACCTGAAATTAAAATATTTCTCCTGTCTGAGAAGTTATATTTTTAAATGCCTCTATAAAACCCACAAGCTACTACAAGGACACATGTACACGAATGTTCATTGCAGCACTGTTTACAATAGCAAAGACCTGGAATCAACCCAAATGCCCATCGATGATAGACTGGATTGGGAAAATGTGGCACATATACACCATGGAATATTATGCAGCAATCAGAAATGATGAGTTCGTGTCGTTTGTAGGGACATGGATGAATCTGGAGAACATCATTCTCAGCAAACTGACACAAGAACAGAAAATGAAACACCGCATATTCTCACTCATAGGCGGGTGATGAAAAATGAGAACATATGGACACAGAGAGGGGAGTACTAAACACTGGGGTCTATAGGGGGGAAAGGGGTGGGCCAGTGGGAGGGGGAGGTGGGGAGGGATTGCCTGGGGAGAAATACCAAATGTGGGTGAAAGGGAGAAAGCAAACAAAACACACTGCCATGTGTGTACCTATGCAACTGTATTGCATGCTCTGCACATGTACCCCAAAACCTAAAATGCAATAATAAAAAAAGATAAAAAAAAAAAAAAAAAAACCAAAAGGCCTTACAAGAAGTCCCTAATTTTTATAGCTGACTTCAAGTGTCCATTTAGTGTCCACTCTCCCACTCTCAAATCCAAAATAATGCTGGCCCTGATCCGGCAGGGCCTTCACGCACATTTTCCTGTGAAATCATTGGCCTCACATCAGCTTCCTACATCCCATTTCAAGTAACTTCCCTTGATCAGCGTAGCAAACGAGAAAGAGTAACAACAGGCATGTACATTTACTACGTCCCTCGCAGAGAACATAATAAAATCCTAGGAACAGGAACTGGCAGGGACAACCTGCCTGGCCCTGGCTCTCGCCACGATACAAAGGGACGGAGAGAGCAAGTGAGGCTCGAGTCTCTACACCCCATACCTCACTCTGCAAGAGAGAGAGGAGTTTCAATGCAATCAGACCCAACCCGCAACGCCCCCCTCCCACGTGGTCTTCCCCCTCTGCCGAGCGCCGAATGGAATTGGAGAGGGGTCTGGAGGGGTCACACTGGAGCTGGACTGGAGGGGTGGGGGACAAACTCCAGGCAGAAACCCTCGTCCCTTCCTAGAGGGGCCCTGCACTGCACGCCTCCCAGTTCCGGGATCCGGAGACCCCAGACCTCTCCTCGTCTCTAAGGAGGGGATCTCCAGGCCTCGGAGCTGCGGGGAGGGCTGAGCTGCCCGGCACCGGGTCTGGACCGTGAGGCGCCCGGGCCGCGGGCGGGCGGGCGAGCGGAGGCTGGGAGGCGGCCCCCTGCCTGCCGCCGCCCCTCCCTGGGCCCCAGCTTCTCCAGGTCCTAGGTAGGTTCTGGGCTGGCCCCCACCTCACCTCAGGGTGGTAGCGTGTGCGGTCGGGCGGTCCCGGAGCCCCTGCGTGGAGGCACTGCTGGGCGGGAGGAGACGCCGGTAGCTCCGGCGATGGCTGACAGACGCTCAGCACCAAGCCGGCCCCGCACACGGGGAGGGGGCGGGGACTTCGGAAAGCTGGCCCCGCCCCCGCCCCGCCCCTGCCTCCCACCTCTGCCGGCGAGCCCCACGAGGTGATTACGTCCGGGGTTACTCCAGGCCGTTCACCTCCGACCCCGCTCCGGGCTGCAGCGCTGCCAGGGCCGCCGGGGGGGCGAGGTGCAGGCCAGAGGGCTCAGCGGCAGCCAATGGGAGGGCGGCGCGGGGCGGGGCGATGTGAGGCGATGTCGATGGTCCGAGCGCGGATCTGCCATTCGGGGCCGAGCGGCTAGAGGGCGGGCGGGACGCGGGCGGGCCCCGGGCTGTCGTGGCGCCCCTGGTCGGGCCTTCGCGGCTCCTTCTGCCACAGCCGGGTGCGGGGCCAGCCCCTCGGCTCCACCTCCTGGCAGAGACAGGAGTGAGGGAAGAGGTTCCACAGGCGCCTCGCATCAGAGACCGACAGAGGCGCCCTAAGTGAGTGGCCGGGACTTGCCGGCCTGTAGCGCGGCGAATGGAACCCAGAATCGAGGCGGGCTGAGTGGGGCAGGCGGTGTGCGGGCCCGAAGGGGCCTCGTCTGTTTAATCCTAACCCATTAGCAAGAGATGGGCAATCGTGTCCACCACCTGCCCTCGTCACGCTGACTGGTTTTCAAGCCTGGGCGGGCTAAGTAACCACACGCTGGAACTCCATAACCAGGCCGCCGCTTTACTCCTCAGCCCCTAGGCAGCCCACTCGAAAGCTGTTCCACATGCTGAATCCTGGCGTGTTGAAGAGAAGCCTCAGTAAAGGAAGCTCAGTGAAAAGGGGAGTGTACCAAAGAACCACCGTCTTCTGCTTGCCCAGGGCAGAATAGTTGCCAAAAACGTTCCAGACTTTTCAGATTGGAGAATGCCTCCCGTCCTCTACTGTGGGCAGACGGAGCCTTTGAGAGGAAACCAATCAGTGTCTCTAGTTTTGCCAGTTACTTCATAGCAAGACTTTCGTGGTAGCTGTGTGTTGAAAATTAATAATAACTGGAAGGAGTCCCAACACAATACAAACATCGCGTAGGGACAGAAACAGAGAAAATTGCACTTGAGAAGAATAGGGTGAACCCTAAACCTTTCCAAAGAAGAATTTAACGAAGCACGCAGAATACCTTCTCAATCCTTACACAAGCTTGTGACAAAGGCCAGGAGAGGTGCAGAGCGTGACAGTTTGGTGGGAAGAAGTTCTATGCCAGAAGGTAAAAAGTGAATAGGATAAAAATCCATGCCCCAGGTCAGTTCTTCGGCGGAAGCTGAGGCAGGAACAAGGGAAGATCTGTCAACAGGGAACAATACTCATCTAGGAACCCTCATAATCCCTCTAGGTGGAGCTTCGCCAAGAATTTATCAACCCACTTTTAAATAATAGGGTCAAGCACGGTGGCATGTGCCTGGACTGTAGTCCCACCTACTCAGGAGGCTGAGGTGGGTGGATGGCTTGCAGTGAGGAGTTCAAGGCTGTGCCTGCACCTGTGAGTAGCCACTGCACCCCAGCACTGGCAACGTAAAAAGACCCCACCTCTAAATAAATAATTAAATAACAGGGATTGGAAGCAGAGAACTTAGGAAAGAAGATATGGACTTCACAGAACAGTGATTCATATTTCACAATAACTATATCACTGGGATAGCTATCAGTTGGACAAAGGTGGAGGGGGAGATAATTTAGCAAGACTTCCTGGTTTAATAAGATGTCTTATTTGACAGACTGAAAAAAATGGCCTGGGAAGAGGGAAGCCTTGCCTTTCCATAATAGCACTCTCTGAAGCTCACATGGAGTGACTTTAGAAAGAACTAAAAACCATGAGGTTGCCTCTTATTTTTCTTTTACCTTTCCTAGATCCTATTAAGTCATAGGAATTCTTTCCTCAGGATTTTTTTTTTTTTTTTTAAGACGAAGTCTCACTCTGTCGCCCAGGCTGGAGTGCAGGGGCCCAATCTTGGCTCACTGCAACCGCCGCCTTCTGGGTTCAAGTGATTCTCTTGCCTCAGCCTCCTGAGCAGCTGAGATTACAGGCAAGCGCCACCACACCCAGCTAATTTTCGTATTTTTAGTAGAGACGGAGTTTCACCAGGTTGGTCAGGCTGGTCTCGAACTCCTGACCTTGTGATCCACCTGCCTCTGCCTCCCAAAGTGCTGGGATTACAGGCATGAGCCACTGTGCCTGGCTTTTCCCCAGGATTCTTAATGTCATTGATGTTTACCAGCTTTAGGAGCTCTATAAAACCAGGGGTTTACCCCCAAAAACTGTCCTTATGCAAAACTTCAGCAAGCCCTTGCATGTCCCGCTTTTGACCTCACTGATTATTTTAAATAATTGAGCTTTCTGAAGAACTAGCCAAAGAAAGACCTCATAAAAGAGCTAGAGTGGAAAAAAAAAAAGAAGGAAGGATGAGTTAGGATACACCAAGATCACTTACACAGAATCTAATAATCTAATCGTTATCAACAAATGCTAAGACAGCTGGGCAGAGGATGGTCAAAGAACTGTGTCTTTAAGACAGTACGACTGGAATTTCAGCAACCCCTGAGTGTTATGGTGTTGGGTGCATGCCACAACCTGCCCATCCCTACTGTACGTTCTTTAGAGCTGCTCCATGATTTCTTGCTACACAAGCTATTATATCTCTAAGAGGCGGAGGAGAAGAACCAAAGGGTGGAGAGAACTTACTATACCAGACTAACAAGTGGAAGAGAAGGGGATGAGTGGTACATTTCTAGAATCTGATACTAGAGGTCTATTATGGGCTGAATTGTATCTCAAAATTCATATGTTGAAGTCCTAACCCCTAATACCTCAAAATGTGAGTTTATTTGGAGACAGAGTCTTTAAAAAGGTAATTAAATCAAAATGAGGTCATTAGGGTGGACCCTAATCCAGTATGACTGGTGTCCTTATGAGGCGCTGGCTCACACCTGTAATCCCAGCACTTTGGGAGGCCAAGGCAGGTGGATCACGAGGTCAGGAGTTAGAGACCAGCTTGACCAACATGGTGAAACGCTGTCTCTACTAAAAATACAAAAATTAGCCCGGCACGATGGCACACGGCTGTAATCCCACCTACGGGAGAGGCAGAGGTTGCAGTGAGCTGAGATCACACCATTGCACTCCAGCATGGGCAACAAGAGAAACTGTCAAAAAAAAAAAAAAAAAAACGCAGATGCTCAGCCCTGTGTGTGTGTGTGTGTGTGTGTGCGTGTGTGTGTGTGTGCAGCAGTGCAATCACGACTTACTGCAGCCTTGACTCCTGGGCTCAAGCGATCCTCCAACCTCAGTCTCTCAAGTAGCTGGGACTACAGGGACATACCACCACACCTGGTTGACTTTTTCTCTTTTAAATCATTCCTAATAATTATTCACCCTGAAGTTCAAGAACAGTTGTTTAAGATTTATCATTATTTTTCCCCTCTTTGCTGCCAGAGTCTGTTGAACAAGGTCTTCAATACCTGTACTCTTAGGACAAGAGTCTTTTAAGTCAGGCTGGAGTTGAATCAAGGGAGGAAAGAAAGTGCCTTAATAGAAAATAGAACCATGGGCCAGGTGTGGTGACTCACGCCTATATCCCAGCACTTTGGGAACCCGAGATGGGTGGATCACCTGAAGTCAGAAGTTCGAGACCAGCCTGGCCAACACAGTGAAACCCTGGCTCTACTAAAAATACAAAATTTGCTGGGAGTGGTGGCACATGTCTGTAGTCCCAGCTGTTCGGGAGGCTGAGGCAGGAGAATCACTTGAACCCAGGAGACAGAGGTTGCAGTGACCCCAGATTGCACCACTGCACTCCAGCTTGGGCAACAGGCAAGACTCCATCTCAAAAAAAAAAAAAAAGAAAGAAAAAGAGGCCAGGCACAGTAGCTCATATCTGTAATCCGAGCACTTTGGGAGGCTGAGGCTGGCAGATCATCTGAGGTCAAGAGTTCGAGACAGCCTGGCCAACATGGCAAAACCCCGTCTCTACCAAAAGTACAAAAATTAGCCAGGTGTGGTGGCAGTCACCTATAATCCCAGGAGGCTGAGGCAGGAGAATTGCTTGAACCTGGGAGGCGGAGGTTGCAGTCAGCCAAGATCACACCACGGCACTCCAGCCTGGGTGACAAGAGCAAGACTCTGCCTCAAAAAAAAAAAAAAAAAAAAAAGGAAAGGAAAAGAAAATAGAATCATGAAGAGCCCCCTGTCCTGGGGGGTGTCTGGCCATGATTCTAAATTCCGTAGGTAACAAGGTCAGTCAGTGATCAATCTTCAGGAGAAAGGATGGAGGAATTACTGGGATATTATTTCCTGCTGATCACCAACAGTTTATACTCTAATCTGGCTTCTGGTACTGCCATGCTTACACTTATCCTTATACCTTTGTTTATAGTGGCAGACTTATCCAACTTTTCTCCTATTTTCCGAATCTTTCTAGTCCTTCGAAGTCCCATTTTCTCCAATATTTCTTCTCCAGCTTTCACTGATCTTTCTCCCTCTGAATTATTGTAGCAATATGGTCATACCACACAGTTCAGAACTTTTATTTTTTGAGATGGAATCTCACTCTGTCTCCCAGGATGAAGTGCAGTGGCATGTTGTCGGCTCACTGCAACCTCCGCCTCCTGGGTTCAAGTGATTCTCCTGCCTCAGCCTCCCAAGTAGCTGGAATCACAGGTGTGTACCACCATCCCCAGCCAATTTTTGTATTTCTGGTAGAGACAGGGGCTCACTGTGTTGGCCAGGCTAGTATCAAACTCCTGACCTCAAATGATCCACCCACCTCTGCCTCCCAAAGTTCTGGGATTACAGGTATGAACCACTGTGCCTGGCTCACAGTTCAGAATTTAATTAGGATATAATTTTTTGTTTGCATACTGGCTTTAGATTTCCAGTTAAATCTTGAAGGCAGGGACCATCTCTTAAAGTTTGCTACCACCTTTTATAGCTCTTCGAGTAGGACTAGGTATTTCTATTAGTAAGCACTTCATTGACTGAAATAAAGATTAGCTCTGTACCTGAGAGGCCAGTCTGCTCCTGATGCCTGCTTATCCGTCTTCACGTTGTCTCTGAGAAGCAAAGCCTCCAGTGGGATATTTAACTGCTTTACAGATGAACAGAATTCATCAAGAAAGTTAGTACCTTGCCCACAGTTGTGGCTCCAGTTGTGAGATAAAAGAAAAATAAGACACAAAGTCCTTATCTGAGTACTATGTCTCTTTGCTCTGGTTAATCATTCCGGTTTATCCAGAGTTAAGAGCCTGAAGGAACTTCATATCACAAAGTCAGAAAGTGTCCTCAGGGAGGCCACTTTATAAGTCTGGTCCTAATGATGAAAGGTAGAATTGCACAATGAAGAACAGTGTGAATAGTAGAGACTCCCCAGAATGTTTTCACATGGACACAGGGTTTTCACGTGGCATTTCTGCTCTCACTCCTTCCTTATTATCCAATAGCAAACACTTCTAGTCTCTATACTTCAGCCAGTCACCAAATCTTAGCTTCTTCCTCCATAACCCCTCCAATAGGTATGTTTTCTAAATCCCTTTCTAAGTCCTATACCTCATAACTAAAAGACCTGGAGAAACTTTAAAGGGCTGTTTAAAGACAGGAAAATGAACAAGATGATTTGTTTGGGTCTTGCCCAATTGCAGGATTCTGCATTTTATTGTTGATCAGCTTTACGGCCTAGCCATCCCTAACTTCACTTTCCTCTAAAGCCGTGAAGGTGCTCCTGGCGTTTATTTCCTGCTCCTGTCCCTACTTTCTCTTTGGACTTCTCTAGTATCTCCATTATTCCTATATCAGACTCAGGTTTTTTCTGCTACATGTTTAGGCTTCCACCTGTCTTCTACCCTCAATGTCTATTGTTGTTTTTATATATGAAACATAATACATAATAAAATATAACTTAATAATTTTATAGAACCTTTATTGTCAAGAAAAATTGAGCCATCATTCAGTTTCTTTTCATCCTTTAATATCTTCTGTCTTAAAATTTTCCCGTATGTCACATCTTAGAGCAGAAGATTTCACAATGTCCTGTCTTTTTTTAAATCTCACCTCTGGGCTGGGCATGGTGGCTCACCCTGTAATCTCAGCACTCTGGGAGGCTGAGGCAGGTAGATTACCTGAGGTCAGGAGTTTGAGACCAGCTTGACCAACATGGTGAAACCCCATCTCTACTAAAAATACAAAAATTACCTGGGCATGGTGGAGCATGCCTGTAATCCCAGCTACTTGGGAGGCTGAGGCAGGAGTATCTGTTGAATCTGGGAGGCGGAGGTTGCAGTAAGCCGAGATCATGCCATTGCACTCCAGCCTGGGTCACAGGGAGAGACTGCGTCTCAAAAAACAAAACAAAAAAATCTCATGTCCTAGATCTGCAGGTAGAAAGTTATCTCCCAACACAAGTCTTGTTTATCAGTGGATGTATTGTGCTGATGTGCCCAATTTTCTTAACAGGAAAGAAAAAAGAA